CAGTTATGTGTGTGTGTGTATGTATATATATATATATATATATATATATATATATATATTATTATTTTTTTTTTTTACAAGTTAAACTATCCCTTATTAAAAGTGCACCAGAATATGAAGATTTTTACCTCAGCAACACTCTTTGCATTTTTTTGTTTTATAAGTTTGTGAACTCTTTCAAAACATTTTAATTTCTGCATTGCTTACTCATAAAATATGGTCTGTTCTTTTATGGTCTGGTCTGTTTCATATTTTTATTAAATACAGTGAGTGATTACTCGCAGTGGCGTAACAAAAGCTGAATATTTTCAAAGGCTCACAAACTTTTTCTTGCCTCTGTATAACCAAAACATTGTCTTAATACAAACAATTATCAAAATTGTCATTATTATAATACAAACAAATTAACACTATCAATTATCTTTTGCTGTCTCCGGTATTTTATTCAACGAATACTGAAAAATGTGTTGAAATATGATGTAACTCTTTGAATATTGAAAAATGTGTTGAAATATGATGTAACCCTTGTTTGGTTGTGAAGCTTTCAGATCTCCCAATAAAATATTTTGAGTTTTGATTCACAGTGCAGGGGTAGTGAAAGTAAGTGAACCCATTCAGTAACTTGTACAGTAGATCCTCATTTAGTAGCAAAACCTCCACCAATCATACTCTATATAGCTCCTTTTTTGGATCATCCTTACACACAAATCTGTTTAAGTTTATCAGTATTTCTTGGTTGTCTTGAGCACAACTCTCTTTAGGTTATGCCACAGCATCTCAATTGTACGGTGGCCGAGAAGTGCAAAGCAAATCACAATTCTGAAAACAAAATAACAAATTACAAACGCTGTACCAATAAGGTGGCATCCATTTAATCATTAAAATTTAAATTATAATTTACACTCAATATGTTATTATTGCATACTGTTTTATAATGTACTACAATACTGAAGTGCAGATAATTGCCACTATTTGCAACAAGTAGTATACTTGATAGTAGAAATCCTGCTATTTTAACATAGTGTAAATAGGTATTTGCACTTAGTGTAAATAGCATATTGCTAAAAATACTGCTATTTTCACTTAGTGTAAATAGAATCCATTGCTAATACGAGATTTGAAAAGGGAGGAAAAAAAAGTTCGGCAAAAGCCGGGATCGAACCCGGGTCGATCGCGTCAAAAAGCCAAGGGCACGCACTTAACCGACTGCACCACTGGAGCTGATGATTTACAGCTACTTTTAACTAAATGTAAATATACACCCCGTATTTTTTATTTCATAGTAAGGGCAATTCATACAATACATATAAACTGAGCTACTTTAATACCATCTCCGAACTTTCTACCACGACTCTGCTGTTCTTCGGCTGGTTCTTCCTGTATACGTTGATTGACAGATGTCTCGTCCAGTCAGCGGTGAGTAATCCCAAACCAATGGCGTTGTCTCAAACTAGACCTACCTTTTCCGGTTTGTCTGATTTGTCGTTGTGTTTTCTGACTTGTTAATTTGTTTTCGGATTTGTCATTGTGTTTTCTGACTTGTTATAATGTTTTCTGAATTGTTGTTGTGCTTTCTGAATTGTTATTTTGTTTTTTAGACTTGCATTTGCATTTGTAATTTGTTATTTTGTTTTCAGAATTGTGATTTGCTTTGCACTTCTCAATCACCGTACAATTGGCTAAAGGTCAAGAAAACACACACATTTCCGTGCTTTTCAGCCATGGTTTAGTTGATTTACTGGTGTTATTTGGGTTATTGTCTCTCTTAAAGTCATTAGCTGCTCTGCCATGAAAAGGCAAAAGACTGTAAAGTTTTTGGTCGACAATTAGTTATTGAGATTTGTAATGAAGGATTAAATTGTGTTGCTAGTTTAAAGTGATGATCACTGTGGGGCATCGGTTTGAATTCATGAGTCTTGTTTGACATCTACAGTTTACTTTATTCCACACTTGCTTCACATATGCAACAGGTGGATAGAGATGTAGTTCTACAGAAAGAAATAACCATAAACAATAATTATTCTTAGTCCAGTCACATCACCATCAATCATTAAATGCAGTACAGTATGATTAAGTATGGCACATACAGTTAAATAGTTATTCAACTTAGTCTATAATGGATAATTGTACATTGACAGCAATATGCTCTGAAGAATGACACTATCAGCAAACTATATGCTTAGGCCACAAACTGCGTCACACATCACATGAAATATAAACAACAACAGAAAATAATCAGACTTAATGAGCAATGTAATATAAAGATGTTGATATTTAACAATATTCACAATGCAAGATGCAGAGGTGGAAAGTAACGAATTACATTTACTTGGGTTACTGTAATTGAGTAGCTTTTTACTTTTTATTTTTACTTCTTTTACTTCTACTTTTTAAAGTAATTTTTTCAATCTGTAATTTTACTTTTACTTAAGTATGTTTTGTTTTAAGTATTGTACTTTGCTACATTTTGAAACACATTAGTTACAGAGTAAAAAAAAAAAAAAAGCCCTGGAAGCGATTGATGCAGAACAAATGGGCGCTAAAATCACAAGAAAGATGGAGACGTACAAGACAGACGTTAGTGGTGCAGAGCAGACCCAGCTGAAAACGAAACTAGGGCCCTATGATTTCCACGATGCGGAAAACACGTACGGAATTGTGGAATCCAATCATAAAAATGCAATTTACTGTATAAAGCTGCATTCACACTTGCAGTGACTTTTGTCGCTGCATGTCGCCAGGGGCTGGCCATGAGGTCGTGGGCGTTCTCACTACTGGCTGCCAAGTAATATCGTTGTTGACTGAATCAGTTTTCTTGCCACTAAATACAAACATTTTGGAGGCCAAAGACTAAATATAATATAATAAATCTGTACATAAAAACAAAAATGAATGAGAAACGGAGCCTGTTTTTTTTCTAGTGGTGCGCCAATCCGATACTGCCATTTTCTGCCGGATCGGGTATTAGGGATGGGCGTATCGATCCTGAAGTATCGGTATATCGATATTGATGCGAGTATCGAAAGTATCGATACTCAAATAAAAAAATATTGATACTAAGGTGTGTTTTTTTTTTGTTTTTTTTTACCAGCGATTGTTTATTTAACAAAAAATTTAATGCGTACAGTATGCATTGAATTGGACGAATAACCTTTGTTAGCGAATAATTGTGTAGGATAGAACTATTTTCCTGCTCATCTATACACACGCAAATGTTGCGAGACAGAAGCAATCAATCACAGAGAGCGTTCACTCACTGCTGACAGTGCATTCAAACAGGGCTGCTTTACCCAAAAGTATCATAAGAAACCATTGATGCTTTTGGGAAACGCAGCCCAGAACAATGATTATTAGAGGACAGAAAAACATACATGTTTGAGTTATTTCACAATAAACTAATTGAAATTGTAGCCTATAATGTGCAATTACATTTAGTTAAATTGAATGTTAAAAGTTCGTATTGGTCATGTTCTATTCTGTAATGTTAATATAAATCATACACTGTCAGAATAAAAAGGTTGCATTTTATGTGTGCAACAGCCTGTTACTGGTAGTCCCTTATGGAAATGAACTCTCAGGTTACTTATGTAACCATGGTTCCCTGAGTAGGGAACGAGACACTGCGTCCTCTAGGGGTCGCTATTGGGATCATCCTCCTCCGTCAGATTTGATAAAATTATTATTCACTCATGATTTTTCTAGAGTAACTTTTGCTGCTGAATTATCCACCAACCTAGTTTATAGTGGTATTTGTGTCATATAGTATGATTATATATTTAGTTATTTGTTGTTTTTCTTTACAATGAAGTTGTCTATATGTGGTAGATTCTGTTTAACACACAAAAGAGTGATGATCAGGTCAACACATTGAGGTATAGAAACACTGATTTATAAAAAAACACTGATTTATCAAAAAAAAAAAAAACTGCACTGGTATCGGATCAGTATCGGTATCGGCCGATACTCAGAATTTCTGGTATTGGATCGGGATCGGTTCTGAAAAACTGGTATCGAGCCAGCTCTACTTTTTTCCATTGCATATGTTTATCTACAGCAAAAACGCAAACAGCCTCTCCTCCATCTTTCCATCACTGCCGGAGCTGAGAGGAGAACGATCACATGGGCTCTACCATCTTCTTTCCTATTGGCTGTCGCTCCCAAAAGTCGCTCTTCATTTGCATGAAGTTGAAGGATTCTAAACTTCGCGTTGCTGGACATACCCCATCCAGTCGCCAATGATCCATCTTTGTCGCTCGTGTCGCCGGAAATCGCCAGGGGCCCGTTTCAATAAGGAGGTTCAACCAACTCTGAGTTGACTTACCCTGAGATGGGAAACTTTTTGGTTTCAGAAAAGCTAAATTGTGTTAGTTCAGTCGACTCGGAGTAGGTTGACTCTGAGTTTAGCGCGTGCACCACGACTATGAGAAGTCACGATCAATGGAGCTATGAAATTATGATTCACCATGGCAACAGCACAGACAAAAAAACGTCTACATACTTCCGAGTCAATAAATAACTTGAATTCTTAATCACTGTTATAATATCAGAGGTGAAAACTGTAAAATTATTTAACTAATATTAATT